CTCGAAGGTTCCCTTCATTGAATAACCGGGCTACCTCTTCTCTCAACAGCCTGCAATCTTCTATTCTGTGGCCTTGGGCGCCATGATACCTGCACATTTGATTGGGATTTCTTTGGGCTGGATTGGTCTGCAGAGGTAGAGGCCATTTAGTATCTTTGATGCGTCCGATAACTAATACGATGGCGGATGCATTAATATTGAAGTTATACTCTGATAACCGCGATGCTTCCTTAGGTCCGGTATGCCTGTCGAAACCACTCTTGTTCATCAGCCCTAGAGACCCTTGGCCTCGATCACTTCTCCTTTCACCTCGTACGAAGTTGCGTCCTGATTCGCTGCCCCTACGATCTCCATTATACACTCGGTATCAGTCACTGTTCAACCTCAATTCTCGGTCGATGTACCTTTTAATAACGGACCCATAAGGGGCCCCCAACTGGCCGTCTTCGACTCTAATCTTTGATTGATATCGATTATGTACATCGGCCCAGGTAACAGCCGGGTACTCAATCAAGTTCTGCTTCAACTGTTGTGAAGCCATTGAGCTTCGTTCGTTTAGTCTTTGGGTGAAATCTTGAACGGCCCAATCGTCTGTGACCGGGGTAGATCCATTTGTTCCATTTGGAAACGAGATACGAACTCTCTTAGCATCTCGTTATATTTTTGCCTTACCTTGAAAAGGTCTGACTTCCTGGTATTGACCTTTATGGCTCTGGCATGTGCTTTTACAAAAGAATCTGCAAGCATGGCAAAAGAATCGATAGAGTTAGGTAGTAAATTATGATACCATATCATTGCTCCCTTTGATAGGATTTCCCCGAATTTCTTTAATAATACGGATTCGATCTCGTCTTCCTCTAGATCATTCCCTTTAATGGCACATGTGTAAGAGGTGACATGTTCGTTGGGGTCGGTTATTCCATTATATTTAGGAATCTCGAGTATGCGGAAGTTCTTGGAGATCGGTTTGGGAGCTGCGCTCGGGGGAACGGCTTTTGTACGAACTTTTTGGAATCCAAACCCTTCAATATTGGTGGTGCCCCCGGGATCTGATCAACCCTGGAGTTATAAGTTACTACTTTTTTATTGTTTTCTTCAATCCTCTTTTATCCTAACTCTATCTGTTTTGTCAGTTCCTCGAGCATCTTTATAATTTCGGGGTTAGTCCCCGATTCTTATTTATTTGACCTTACTACAGCTGGCCTTATTTTGTGGGTGACTTCTCGGGGTGGACCGAGCTCAGGCTTGCTCGGTGCCTGGGTTTGGCTCTGCAACTGAGTTATCGCTACCTATTGAGCTTGCAACATTTCAAAAATCATACGCACATTGATCCTGTCTTCTCCAACATTTTGGGTATTTCGAACTGCAGATCGAGTTCCACCATGAATGCTATTTTCGGGGTCGGAATGTTGGTTCGCTTCAATGGCCACATGCGAATTAATGTCAATTGGATCTACGACCCGAGTTCCAATGGGGTCAACGAGTGGCCTTTCATACCCGGACATCAGGTTGTTATTCTCACCTTGATGGCCAGCTTCGTTGTCGATAGGTAGGGCCATTAATTGAGAGTTCGTCATTTTTAACCTGAAATCAAAGATACTTCCAAGAGCAAGTGTAAAATAGTGCGTTTTACAAAGATTCATACCAAATAACCACTATTATCCTTAGCCCCACGGTGGGCGCTAAATTGTTTACCCGAAAAACGGATAGAGTTGAATTTATACGTAGTTCTAAGAATACGTGATATAAATTGATACAAATTGGGAAAGATATGTAAATGAATATCGAAATAAGTTATAAAAGAAATGAATGCAAACCGAATGAACTAGCTAGCCTAAGCCTTCAAGTTTTATCACCTCCAAATTGAGTGAAGAACGATTGGTAGAAGAAACAATATGACTAAATATCAAAAGCCAAAAAAGGATAGTATTTGCTCTCTTTTCTATATATCTCAAAATGAATGTGTTTTTCTACAAATGATAACGACTCTATAGTGGGGAATCCAATTTTGGATATAATTAAAAATACAAAGTGGGGATCCCATGATAGATTAATTAATTAGCTTTTCCTTGATTTAAGCTGTGATTTTCGCCGAGATTCTCCCCCCAATTGTAGCTATAACGCCTTTTTTATTTCTTGGCTCGATCTCGATCTTGACCGATCTCAATCTTGATCGATTTATGGGTCTCAAGCTCGATCTTGGACGATCTCGATATTGATCGGTCTCGATCTTGGCCGGTCTCGGTATTGATCGGTCTTTGAGTTTCGAGCTCGATCTTGGTCGATCTCGATATTGATCGGGCTCTAGGGCTCGAGCTCGACAACCTAACTTCGCATTATGGATCGATATTACAATGATGAACCTTGAACCATCATGTTCCAATCTCGATTAGTCATAAGAAGGGCAGACTCGATTTTGACCGTATACAACCTTACCTTTTATGAGATAAAGTTAATTATTTTGGATTTAACGTCAGAATTATTTCCGATAGGACATCCAATGACCAAGTAAATTGATTGTGTCCCAAGTTTCTCGCAGTTGGACTTTGTTTGTTTTTTGTAGATTGTGAAATAAATAGATATCACATTAGTCTTTATTTTTTTTAATAAAAAAAGAGTATAATGAGGGGCATTTACAGTCGTACCCTATATTTGTGTCACATTTTAACCTATACTCTATTTTTAAAAATTATTGATTTGGTAGTCAGCTGACAAATCCATAATAATATGACAATTACACCCTTGACAAAAGATATAAAAACTGCATCACGCATTAATTGCGTGAGATCTCCTCCTCTCCTCTCACCTTAAAGCTAAAACTTCATGCTAATGTAGCATGAAATTGTTTCATGTTGAAGCTAAATTTCATGTTAATATAGCATGAAGTTGTTTCACATTGAAGCTAAAACTTCATGCTAATGTAGCATGAAATTGTTTCATGTTGAAGCTAAATTTCATGTTAATATAGCATGAAGTTGTTTCACATTGAAGCTAAAACTTCATGCTAATGCATGCTGAAATTATTTATCCTACAGTCTACAGTTTTGTCATGAGTTTTATCCGAAACTTCAGTCTAAACATGCTGTAGTTATTTAGTTCATTTGCTAAGACTTCAAACTAAACATGGTTAAGTTTTTTAGTTCATTTGCTAAAATTTCACACTAAACATGCTTAAGTTATTTAGTTCATTTGCTAAAACTTCAAATTAAACATGCTTAAGTTATTTAGTTCATTTGCTAAAACTTCAAATTAAACATGCTTAAGTTATTTAGTTCATTTGCTAAAACTTCAAATTAAACATGCTTAAGTTATTTAGTTCATTTGCTAAAACTTCAAATTAAACATGCTTAAGTTATTTAGTTCATTTGCTAAAACTTCAAATTAAACATGCTTAAGTTATTTAGTTCATTTGCTAAAACTTCAAATTAAACATGCTTAAGTTATTTAGTTCATTTGCTAAAACTTCAAATTAAACATGCTTAAGTTATTTAGTTCATTTGCTAAAATTTCAGACTAAACATGCTTAAATTTTTGTCTTGCAGTATGTAATTTTCTAATGAGTTTTTGCTAATACATGCTGAAATTATTTAGTTCATTTGCTAAAAGTTCAGACTAAACATGCTGATGTTTTTTAGTTCATTTGCTAAAATTTCATACTAAACATGCTTAAGTTATTTAGTTCATTTGCTAAAAGTTCAGACTAAACATGCTGATGTTTTTTAGTTCATTTGCTAAAAGTTCAGACTAAACATGCTGATGTTTTTTAGTTCATTTGCTAAAAGTTCAGACTAAACATGCTTAAATTTTTGTCTTGCAGTATGTAATTTTCTAATGAGTTTTTGCTAATGCATGCTGAAGTTATTTAGTTCATTTGCTAAAATTTCATACCAAAACATGCTAAAGTTTTGACATGCAGTCTACAGTTTTGTCATGAGTTTTATCTGAAACTTCAGTCTAAACAAGCTGAAGTTTTTTTAGGTCATTTGTTAAAATTTCAGACTAAACATGCTTAAGTTTTTATCTTGCAGTATATAATTTTCTAATTAGTTTTTTCTAATGCATGCTGAAGTTATTTAGTTCATTTGCTAAAATTTCATACCAAAACATGCTGAAATTTTGCCCGTGCAGTCTACATTTTTGTCAATAGTTTTTTATTAAATAAGGGCAAAATCGTCTTTTTAAAATACTTTTAACAAAAAAATGGATACGGATGCACGCAGAAAAACAAAACGGGTATAAGTTAAAAAGGAGCGAACATAAAGGGGCGACCAAATAGGGCGCCCCATGCAATTTTTACCACTTTTCTTCTCCATCAAATCAAATCACCATTTGTCCAAACGACCTCTAAGCTGCTGAGGCAAACACCATCAATTCTGTCACACAAAAGTATTTAAAACCCAGAAATAATTTTTGGAGTTTGAACTTATAGATGTTCAAAGTCCAACAATTATTTCCAAATGTATTTGTCATACCCCAGGAACAATGAATAGATTTTAAGCTTACAAATATTCAAACTCCACTTGTATTTTTGTCTAAATCTTATCTCCGTATTAAAGAGTGGCTAGTTTTTTATTACATGTGAGTTTGTAATCCTTGCTCAATGAACAAGTCAATAAGAACGTCCTTGCAAGAATAGTTTGGTGGTCAAAGCATTATAATTTAAATCGTGGATGTTGCAAATTCAAATTAATTTATCATTGTTGATATTTTCTAATCATCTTTATCAATGCCCTTATGCTCATGTCCATTTGAATCAAATATTAGGTGGAATGTCATACAAGTTTCAAACTAGATAAAAGTATTAAATTTAACATAAGATCAACAACATTAACTAAATGTTATTTTTGTATGATCTAATGTGTTCCCAATTAGATATAATTAATATTAATATACTTTTAATCAACTTCCCTGTATATGATTTTTTATCTTTAAACAAGGCATCAACAGCCATAAAGCAAACTACCAAATCTTCCTACAAAGGCGAGAACTGAGAAGCAACCACACACAAACATGACAAAACAAGAAACCTTCCTAGAAAGTAGAAAATCAACCACACATAGAAATGACCAAATAAGTCCAAAAATAACCTTATCCTCCTCACCTTCACAAAAAAAAAAAAACAATGGAGGGTTGTGAAAACAAATTACAAACTTTAATAATATAGTACTTGTACTATAGTAGTAGTAAACTAAGTTAAAAAATGTTGTCAAAGGAATTCGATCTTCCCGAGGAAGTATTGGAAGTACTGCCGTCAGATCCATTTGAACAGCTAGATGTGGCGCGTAAGATCACCTCCATTGCCCTCTCCACGCGCATCTCCGCCTTGGAATCGGAAGCCGACGCCCTCCGCCGCCAGCTGTCGGAGAGGGATGACGTCATCTCAGACCTACACTCCCAGCTCGACTCCCTCGACTCCTCCCTCTCCGATGCATCCGACAAGCTTTCCCGCGCCGAGCAAGAGAAGGTCCGACCCGACCAATTTGGGCTTCGTGTTGTATCTTCTTCTTCTTGGACTAGGGGTTGACTTTTTTACCGTGTTTGAATTTTTGCAGGAGAGTTTGGTGAAAGAGAATGCAGCGCTATCCAATACTGTAAAGAAGCTTAGTCGTGATGTTGCGAAGGTATTATTAACTCTTACTCCTTCCCAACGTGGCAGTGTTGGCTTGACACAAAATTTAAGATGAAAAGAAACACTTTTGATACATGTGGTCTTAAAAAAGTTATGATTCATGTTATTAAGGGTAAAATTAAAGTTAAATTGTTTCTGAATATTAAATGTGATATTCTTTTTGGACAAAGGAGTAGTTTTTAGTTTGTTTGGGGCTGGATGAAGCATAAGGGATATAGAGGATTTAAATAGCGAATTCCAGCTAGTTTGTGATTGAAACATAGTTTTTGTTGTGCTCATTTGAAAATTTGGGGGTGGCGTTGGGGATGGGCGAAACGAGAAAGCTGGATTATGGGTTTTTAGAGTTGGGCAAATTATCGCAATTTGTCAACTGAATGATGCTGGTGTACTTGGTCCATACTAGCATTTGTCTAAAGACTATAGCTTTCGAGTCTCAAAGTTTTTTCTTTAAATCTTTTTATAGATAGCTAGAAATAAGTAATGTTTGGATCTTTAAATAGGCGAACCTGTGGATTTGGTTTCTTTTTAATTGGACATAATGTAGAAGGTTTCTTTCCCCTTCTTTTTTCCTTTAAGCATCCAGTTTCAAAAGTTACTGACACGACTAATTCGGATTTAGGCTAGTTGCGGGGAAAGCCTACTAAGGGGGTAAAGCGTTCTTTGCTGAAGAGTGAAGAGGACTCCATTCCCAAGGTCTGAACTCGGTGACCTTTAATCTAGAAGCTAGTTGAAATAGCAATATGCTTTTATGTCTCGATAAGAGATTTAAGAGAGTAATGTAAAAGAGGAAGGGGAAAAAAGGGCGGGAAAACAAGATTATTAGGGGTATTTGTCCAATAGCTTCACTTTATTCGGAGGAATTTGTAGCTTGTTAAAGACCTTGTGGAGTGACGAAAGCTCCTACCGGTTATAGAGCATGTAATTGTCAGTTTAGCAATTATACAAACAAGCATTTTTATACTTTCCAGTAATGTCCTCTGGTTAGAGCAGTTACATACATTACATAATGCTATTGTATCAGTCATCCTTTCTGCACGGACTTAGTATTATGAGATACTGTCTATTCAAGTACATTATTCACTTTAACATATGAATGGAGCTTTATTCGTACACCTCACCTCACCTCACCCCAATTCACTAGTGGTAGTTATTCATGCCTCATTAACCCACTATCCAGAGTGTATAATGGCTTAAAATTTGTAGATGAAATCCAGAACTAGCACTTACATTTACTCATATAGCATTGCCATCGGACTAGTGCTGTAGTACAGACTACATAACTACTTGGAGCTAATGATAATCTTCTCTTTTCTCTAATTAAGCTGTGTCATGTGTGTGTGTGTGTGTGTGTGTGTGTGTGTGTCTGTTTTATATTATACTTTATTTTGATCATTACTTTTTTGATACGTAACATGTGTTAGCTTCTTTTAACTCAGCCTCTTACACCCACAATCCGCTTACCCCCATAAAGGCGCTATTCCTCTTGACCCAAATTTCTGATGTCATGTATCTTCTATGGTATTTAGACTATTGATTTTGGAATTTATTTGTTGAAAAAGATTTGTTGTCTTGAAAATTACAGTTGGAAGCCTTCAGAAAGACACTTATGAGATCACTCAATGAGGAAGAAGACAGCCCGGTAAGTCAATTGAAGGATTTCTCCATCTTCCTGTTGTTTATTAACTACACAGAAGTATAGTACTCCTGGAACTAAAACAATGCTTGTGACGGTACTGAACTATTACGTGGATATGGACTTGAATTTCCGGGTGCTGAAACTTTTTCAGGATAAACTGGCAACACTAGTACCTCCTAATCTTGCTATGTAGAGGATGTGCTATCCTTATTAATACTCCGTCACTTTTGGTGTTTGACAGGCTGGAGCTCCAAATCTTGCCAAAAATGGACAAAGCCGATCAGGTTTGTCTTTTTTGTCATGTTCGATGTCTATATTCTTTTTCAGCGATTTGCTCATATTCAATATCTATTTTGGGAATGTGTTGTGTTGCTCCGAAGTTTACTATGTGAAATATGCTCCGAAGTTTACAATGTGACATATGTTCCAGAGTTTACTATGTGAAGTACGTTTATCAGAGTGGATTTTCTCCACAGCTTTTAGATATAGGAATTTTTGTCTTCTCACGAGGATATTTCGACGCATGAAGTTGTCTATTATTGGTTCTAAGGATTAAAAGTTTTTTATTGATTTGAGAATCTATTCTGCATCTTTTGTCAAACGTAGTCAATGTAGTCTAATTCTACTATACTTTGAGTCATTTCCTCTTCCCTTTTGATTTTCTCTTAGCATATGTACTGGACACTTCTTTTTCTATTTGGGGTAAATAGAGGTTAGAGGAAACAATTAACTTTGCCAATTCTTTAAACTGAAAAGTATATCATCTCTGAGCGCTTTAAATTATTCAGATGAAGATGCTTCCCTGCCACCTCCTCGGACACAGTCAACAGAGAGTGGACAATCATATTCAGAGGATGCCGAGTCAGAAAGTAAGCTCTAAAACCCAAAATTGTCTGTCTCGTGACATTGTCAATGACCTCTAAGCTAAGCAACTTTTGATCTACGAAAAAAATTTACATTCTGTAACTTAAACATAAACTTATATTTTTAATCAATGGTTGCAGCTTCTAGGCCTCGCATATCGCCAGGCTTGTTGTTAGCATCACAGACTAGTACTCCACGTCTTACTCCTCCTGGTTCCCCTCCAAGTCTTTCGGCATTTGTGTCTCCTTCAAGGTCACCAAGACCACTATCTCCAAGGAGACATTCCATTTCATTCTCAACAACAAGAGGCATGTTTGATGACAGATCTTCAGTATATTCTTCAACCTCAAGCCAGTATGGCTCGATGTCAGGCCTTGAAACAGGATCACAAACTGGTTTGTTCTTCTTTTGAAGAAATTGAATTGTGTTCCTGTCTATGTTCAAGTTTGGCATGCATAAATTGATATCTGTGATGTTTGTTTAATCTAAAAGTGCAGCACTTTTGTCTTAAGCTCAAAGGTTGGTCTATAATGGACAACTTCTTTTGTGTGGAATTGTTGGGATGAATAAATTTTAGTTAATGAAATACATTCATCCCAATAAAGGGCCTATTGTTGAATAAGTTAATTCAAGGATGAAGGGATTGTTCTGTTGTCTGCAATCACCACCTTCTACTGGATAGCATGCACAGCTTAATCGCCACTACTCTTTCACACCTATATATAATGCATTAATGCATACCCATTACCGCTCCTCCTTAATTTAACAAAATTAAAGCCTTATGTTGTTTTGATGTCTGACATGAGTCTCACCACCTTCTCATGTACTATCCCAGCACGAGCTCGAGTGGATGGGAAGGAGTTCTTCCGACAAGTCAGGTAAAGCTATTGCCACTATCATCTGTGATTCATCTTTATATGTTCCCTATTTTCCCTTTTGAGCTTCTGTTTCATTACCATGGATGGTTTATGCATTATCAGGAGTCGGCTATCATACGAGCAGTTTGGTGCCTTTCTAACAAATGTTAAGGAATTAAACTCGCACAAGCAAACAAAAGAGGTATGATTTCCCCAAGTATATCACTTGATCTTATGACATTAACTACCACACTTTTTACAAATATAACAGCTTATTTTGAACATTTTAGGATACTTTGCGGAAAGCAGCTGAAATTTTTGGTGATGAAAACAAGGACCTATATACCATCTTTGAAGGGTTGATCACTCGTAATGCCCAATAAAATGTCCAAAGCTTCAATATAATCTTCCTAGTTTGGAGCCTGTTGCATGTGTTTTTACTGTAAAGTAATGAATAAACTAAATGTACCAAAAGTTTGTAATTATTGCTTCACTACGTTGGAGCTCCCTTCTTTTGTAGCCGATATATTGTATCTTAATTAATTTATAGATTCACCAGCAAAAAGCATTTCATGTACATTTTATTCAACTCAAATATTTTGAGGTTTGATAATGTAGTACCTCAATGTCACCTTGTGTGATGTAAGGCTTCAAATCTCACCAAGTCCTATGGGTATTAAATCCAAGAATGAGTTAGCAGGTTCGGCGGAACTCAATGTTCGGATCAAATTCTATATATATGTGTGTAAAAACAAATAGAGATAGAATTAAATATGGATTAACTTGGAAGACCACAGCATTTATATTCTAGATTCGCCCTGACTTCATCTACCTCGAAAGAGGAACGAAGAAAAAAAACCTTTTTGAGTATGACATTAGTGATCCCTATTTGAAGAATCTTGGTCTGCATGCAAAATTTAATGCTGAATATAAAATATAAAAAAAAGTTATACTATTAAGAGTATACCTACTAATATGCTATCATAAATTATATTTTGAACGTTCTTAAATTATATAATCTTTGTTGTAGGTCCCAACAATATTTATTTTTGCACGTTCCACAATTTTGGGATATAGGTGCATGCAAATGCAGGTTGACGACATGACAACCGCTATTTTCCAACTTTTCCTTTTCTCATCATCTCCTCCTCCTCTCCCTATACTTCTCTCTCATTCATTCTGCTATTCTCCCATTTTTGGATTCTGTGGAGGAAGCCTAATTCATCCTTTTTTGGTTTATTTTTGTGTTCTTTCTGTGAGGATCCATGGAAACTATTCTTGAACATTCAGCTAATTCTCCATGGTATATATTCTCAATTTCATTTGGTATGATTATGATGATTTTTGGTTTGGTTTGTTACTTCATAAAGTTCCCTCTTTTGGCTAAATAGGAAATAGGCAGCCCCGTTAATTTTAGCTAATATGTATTGTTAACCAGATAGTTGCTAATCTTTGTGTTTGTATATGGATCATTGTATATCTCTATCATATCAACCACCTCTCAATCCCAAATTAGTAATTGGGCCGGAGGATTCCTTATATTAGACCGTTGTCACGTTGATCATCAATCTATCACGACTCTCCTCCTTTATGTGGATAATTGTCATATGATAAAATTCGGATGACAAAGGTAGAAACACATTAACATTTGTTATATTGGGGGGTAAAGCAAGAAATGATGTTGCCAGTTTGCTTTGACAATTATTGAATTTCTGGGCATGGCCTTCACTCTTCAATATAATCTGTGATTTTTGCGTCGTTTTCCTGAATTAGGCTGCAGGTAGATTCAGATAACATAGTTTTTAAACAATTTAGGGGCATGTGATCTGTAAAATGGACGAAGAAATGGGAGAAGAAGCTTTTTCCTTGTTTGTATGCCTGTAAAATCTTTGTGGAATATTTGCATGATTTTCTAAAACTTAATAAAATCAGTGCTTTTCAAGAAATGATCTTATTTATACATCTCTGGCTTCCCAAAATTGTGTTAACAGTGAGAATACCTGCAATGCCAATGAAGAAGAGTCAGACGAGGAGCTTTTCAAGATAGGACACAAGCTACTATTTTGTGCTTCCTCCATTTCTCTCTCCGCTGAAGGTGAGAATCCTTTGAACACGCTAGTTTCTTCTTCATATTATCTTAATTACTTGTTTTTATATATCTGTTTATCTCTTCCATATTTTAACCTTTTTATCATTTTATGCTAGAGTTTCGAAGTCTAAGCATGGGGGAAGATCATATGGATGAGGATTCTACTAGAGAAGTTATCGAGGAGGATAAAGTATATGAGGAGTCGATAAGAGAAGCTTCAGAGAATCAGACAGAGTCTGAATCAACCACTTCCAAGCCTAGCACTTCAGATTCCGATGGTTGGCAAGGATTCATTAAAAGACTAAAGAAAGGGCCATCCATACATTTGCATACATTCCATCCTAACATGCCTTCCCTACCTTCACTACCTTCCTTAAAGATGCTATCCAAAAGAAAAAGTAGGAGTGCACGACGGAGCATGCCAATGTTGCCTGCTCCTAATCTAGATGTTGATTTGCAATACTGCTTTGAAGCTAACTGGAAGAATTTCTCCCTTTCAGAACTTCAGCAAGCTACCGACAACTTTAGCCCTGGTAACGCTTTCTATATGTATCCTGGCTTTTTACTTTATAATTGCTCCTACTATTGTTCTAGAACCACATTGTGATGCCTAATCTTTTTGTTGCCATTTTTGAAGAGAATTTGATTGGTGAGGGAGGTTATTCTGAAGTATACAAAGGACATCTCAAAGATGGCCAACCTGTGGCAGTGAAAAGGTTGACTAGGGGATCTCAAGAGGAAATGACATCTGACTACTTATCTGAGCTAGGAATTTTAGTACATGTCAAACATCCAAACATTGCCAATGTAATTGGCTATGGAGTTGAAGGTGGGATGCACCTTGTTCTTCCTTTGTCTCCTCATGGGAGCTTAGCTAATATGCTTAATGGTATGTTCCCTAATCTTCTTTTCATGAAATTACACCTTATGTAGATTTTTGACTAACTTTCTTTTATTATGTATTTCACATTTTTAGGTGAGAGGGGTAAATTGACTTGGCACATAAGGTATAATATTGCTCTGGGCGCAGCAGCAGGCCTTGCGTATCTTCATGAGGGGTGCCAGAGGAGGATTATCCACAGAGATATAAAGGCTGCTAATGTATTGTTGACAGAAGACTTTGAGGCTCAGGTATGTCTTTGTACCAGTCATCACGCGATGAAAATATGTGGTGTCTTGCAGTGGCTTTATTGACATGCAATTGAATTCATTTCTATGTTTTTGGAATGTTATCTTTTATAATACCTGCATATAATACATAATCTCAACTATGAGTTTTATTACTTGTTACAAACACGAAGTTTTCTTCAAGTGTCAGAACTCGATGACTCTTATTACTTTAGGGATAAAACTCAATGCAGTTTATTTACAGATTACTAATTACTGATTTATGTCTAGAAATTTGGAGTCACAAGTTCTACAAGGAAACTGTAGGGGTTCTATTTTGTCCACATTAAATAGCAGGATTTGTTGTTGCTCATCTTTTGGTTTTCTGTAGATATCTGACTTTGGGCTTGCAAAATGGCTCCCTGATAAGTGGACTCACCTCACTGTATCGCAGTTTGAAGGCACCTTTGGGTTTGTGGGAACCTAAGCTTTTTACCTATTGTAAATATGCGATAAGGATCCCTTGTAGTAACTTTCATCTTACATGTTCATGGCAGTTACCTCCCTCCTGAGTTCTTTATGCATGGCATTGTGGATGAAAAAACTGATGTCTATGCTTTTGGTGTGTTACTGTTGGAGCTCATTTCCGGACGTCCAGCTTTGGATGAATCTCGTAATAGTGTTGTGATGTGGGTATGTAATCATCTCAACTCCCCTTCATTTAATCAACTGTAGACGTAGTAATACAAATTGCCTATTGTTTCAAGTATCAATCAGAGTGGTAGGATAAACTGTAACCAAATAACTTTACAGGCTAAACCTTTGCTTCTCGGCAAGAAACATAATGAGATAGTCGATCCATCACTCGGAGATGCCTATGACTCAGAACAGCTTAATCAGATTCTTATGGTTGCCTCATTGTGCATACAGCAAGATTCAGCAGATCGGCCTTCAATGAGCCAGGCAAGTAACATGAATTTTAGTCGGAGAATAGCCAATACCAATATGATCATAGTAACAGAAATGTTGATAATAACCATTTAAAAGAAAGTATGGGTTTTTTGCTGCAAATTTTGCCATCTTCGGGTATCTTCCATATTCATGCTTCTTATATTTCTAGGAACTAAGCTAATGCATGATGGGATATTTTCATGCAGGTCGAACAAATGTTAATTGGTGATGACGGCATTCTACAAAGCAAGAAAAAGTTTAAAAGATGGCCTCCCCTCAAGCGAAGATGTGCCATAGAACTGGATGCACTACTTGAGTCTCCCTAACCATAAGTTTACAGATAATCCAAACCAGTAAAATCAGCTAGAACTAGACCTTGTTAGCAGTGAGAGGATCTTTTGATGCGATTGAGCCCTCTGTAGTTGATGTCTGCACCATAGACACAAGCATTGTTAGGTGATTAAAGTTCTATACCAGTTAAGACGGAATTAATCTGAGCAACTGAATAATAATCCAACTGGGACAAGAAATCAAAATAACAAGTATAATGCTTCAAAGAGTTTCAATATTTGACAGGCGTAGTAGCTTTCTCCAGCAAACGTATTCATCTCTATTTGATGTCATTTTTGTTTAAGTACTATGTTTAGAACTACAAATTGTAGATATATGTAGGTGAAATGTTATATACTAGATTGTATGTACTTGAGTTTGATATGGTCAGCAAATAAATATGCATAGTACATTCTTTTAGTCACAAAGTGCAGATTATTGCCTAATGAGCTGTTATTGAACGCTCTTTGAAGAATTTCAAATACATATTTTGCTATTTCCTTTTTCTTGTTTGCTTTATTTTTTATATATCTTTTCAATAGGAATTTGGTTCCAAATGAAATGGATGACCCAAGATTACACACTCCATGGTTTATTCAAATTCAAAAGTAAAGAAACTATTAAAATGGAGGGTTCTTGAAATAGAGTGAAGTCTCCAAATAAAAGCAAAAAACGAAATAAAGGTATGAGGATGATACATCTTGTTATTATTTGGAAGGATTTAACTTGCTATAGTGAGTTATTTGCCATATATATATATATATATATATATATATATAGACATGTAATTACCTAATTTTAAGCATGCACACAACAAATTTTTTATACCGTTAGAGGTCGTTTGGATGATGGTATGGAATAATTATCTCCAACATATAATCAATTGTATAAGATAATAGTGTTTGACTGGTTGCACGAGAAAAAAAGTAATTGGTAACTATCGCAACATTTGGTTGGCAATATCAAATATTACCCCACATTAAATTATGCAGAAATGAATGTATTATTTTATGAGAATTGTGGGACATAATGTGGAATAACAATACATATCAACATACTGAATTAAATTATTTAAAGAAAAAATAATTTTTAAAGTAAGTAATCTACCTATAACAAATTAATCAGTAAAACAATTTATTCATTATGAATTATTGATAAATGATACATAACCAAAAGACCACTCAATTATTAACCTCAATAATCAACCACACCAAAATATGATCCTTAAAATATTTTCCAAAAAAAAAATAAAAATCATCATGTATAAAATCTTACTTCAGTTCACTACTTTTTCGAAGACCAATTCTGTAATTAGGACAAAACTCCAAAGGAGGTTCGTATAATTAATCTGAAGGAGGAGTAATAATAAAAGGAAAAATGTAAAATATTAAGTGACTTTTTCTTATATCCAAAGTCCCACAGTTTGGGATAATACCGGGTATGTTGTTGTTCTTATATCCAAATTTTTGTAGACAAAGTTTGGACATAGAATTGATTGAAACTTAAAGAAATAGTTTTTGAAGTTGTGTTGAAAAATCTATATCTATATATATCTATATATTATTAAAAGGAGGGGAAAAAGCCCTCTCCTTAAGACAAGCGGCAGCTTAAAAAAAAGTCACATGATCTAAGTAGTTAACAATTAGTTATTGGTTATTGTTTTTGAATTTAAATATTTATAAAATAATAAAATAAAATATTTTATAATAAAAAACGAAAATTAAAAAAACTGTCCATTCAAATTGGAGGATAGTTTCAAGTTGGAGTTTTTAAATTATTTTAAAATAAAAAGCTAAAATTACAAAAAATAAAAAAATGCCAATTCAAAATTTCTTTGGTTTTCTTAATAATTTTTGTTTTTCTTTTTAAAAATAAAAGGTTTATTTATTCAAAATATTATTGAGAATAATAGAATAAAATATAAAATATAAAAATATATATCTTCTATTATATTATAAAAAGAAAGTAGCATACAAAAATTTAAATAAAGTAATATGCTAATAAAAGTTTCTATTAACAATTCAATAATACTAAATATGGATAATATAATAAAGAAAAGTACAAAACAAAAAAGTTATTCGATTAATATAATAGATCTTTTATTCATTAAAATTCAGATAATATTATTGAGAACACTAGGATAAAATTTAAAATAAAACATATTTAGTAATAAAATATATATCTTCTATTATATTACAAAAAGAAAGTATAGTAGACAAAAATATTAAACAAAGTAATATGCTAATAAATATTTCTATTACTAATGTGAAAATACTAAATACTGGATAAGTATAATAAAGAAAAATGTAGAACAAAAAAGTTATTCAATGACTATACAAGTCTCTTTAATTTAATAGAGATTTTATTCAGTAAAATTCAAACAATATTATTGATAATATTAGAATAAAATTTAAAATAAAAATAGTATTTCAAGAGTAATAAAATATATATCTTCTATTATATTACAAAAAAAAAATAGTAGACAAAAATATTAAACAAAGTAATATGCTAATAAAAATTTATATTAACAATACAATTATATTAAATATTAGATAATATAATAAAGAAAAATATATAACAAAATAACTAATTGACTATATAAGCCCCTTTAATTTAATAGAGATTTTATTCATTAAAATTCAGATAATATTATTGACAACAACATAATAAAATTTAAAATAAAAAATATTTCAACATTAATAAAATATATATCTTCTCTTATATTATAAAAAGAAAACGTGTAGACAAAAATATTAAACAAAGTAATTTGCTAATAAAAATTTCTATTAACAATGTAAAATACTAAACATTGGATAATAGAATAAAGAAAAATATAGAACAAAAAAGCTATTCAATGATTATATAAGTACCTTTAATTTAATAGAGATTTTATTATTAGGTATGTCATATTGACAAATAAGATGACAATTGAAATTTATTAAAGCAATACGATCTAATATGTTCAAACAAGTTCGATCATAATTTAATTTAATTAATATTAACCGCACATCGCGTGGGTACGACTACTAGTAATTTTAAAAGTTGAAGTTACGTATTGTACATGTATTTTATTTGAAGAAATATTGAAATTTTGTGAGTGAAAGAAAAATTTTCACCTAAAAATTATCTACTAAATCAGTTTTTGAGAACTTGAATTTTTTTATTTTTTGTTTTTCAAAAATATGATAATATGTCATAAACAAATAATATTTTAAGCCAAAATCTATGACAAAAAATAAATGTAGCAGGTATTTTTCATTAAGAAAAATAGGAAACTACCACGTCCTCCCAACTATAAGAAGTCGTATATAAAGACCGACTAAATCATGTGCTGAATGTTGAAGTAACAGTTCACGCGAATTGGATTCAAAGTTGGATACTTACATTTTCCCGAGAAAAATCCACACTATGAATAACTTTTCGCAGATCGCCAGTTTCTTCTTCTTCATCTTGATCGCCGCCGCGTTCGTGACTAAATCATCATGCTCCGCCATCATCAATCCCTCTAAAGTCAAGCAAATTTCATGGAAACCTAGGTATTTCACTGTTTTCCTAGCTAAAAGCTGATAAAAATGCAATTATTGAGAAAAAAATAAAAAATTCTGTAATGTTATAGTGTTTGTTTTCCGGTTTTGGAGCTAAGAAAACTTTGATATTATAGGAAGAAAAGTCAAATTATAAGTTTTTCTTTTTCTGGAATGTACAAGTGTTTCACCGATTTAGCTTTACGTTTAGCTAAGAAAAATGCAATATTGCTGAAAAAAGGTCAATTTTGTAAATTTTTGTTTCTGTAATTGTGTAATGTTTCCCTGATTCAGCTATGTGTATTTCACTATTTTACGGTTTCTAAGCTTATAAAGTTGCAATGTTATTGGGAAAAAAGTCAAGTTTTTGAGGTGTTTATGTAGTGCTGTTGTGCCTTATGGAGTTTGCTATTTGTGACTGTTCGCAGAGCTTTTGTATATGAAGGCTTCCTGACGGATGAAGAATGCAATCATTTGGTATCTCTTGTAAGTGTTAATTTCGATTTTACTTTTTGGGGAATGTATTTTATGTTTGATTAGATCAATTTGTTGAGATCTGTTTGTGTTTGGAAGCTGATTTGTCAATTGTGGTGTAGGCGAAGAAGGAGTTGAAAAGATCGGCTGTGGCAGATAATGAGTCTGGGGAAAGTAAGCTCAGTGAGGTTAGGACTAGCTCTGGGATGTTCATTAGCAAAGCAAAGGTCTGTTTTTCTTACTTTCCTCATTGTTGTGTTGCTAAATCGTGTTACTCCATAATACAACAGTTTAATTGTTTATCTAAGTTGCAAAGATGAGTTGGTATGCACATTGGTAATTTGACATAAATATGACATGTATTTCTAGTTTTATGAATTCCTATTACTTTAGTGTGGTAGAGTATCATGCCAGGGTCAAAAGATCTGTTTGTCAATGGATTTGTCACTCTACCAGGTGCTCGTGGATAGTGGTTCCTTTAAGAGGTTTATATGCTAAGATCAAAGGCTTGCCATCACGCTAAAAGCTGCAGATGATAATAAGGGCGCAACTTTATTTCTTAACCAAGCCCATCAAGCTAGGGGCATATGTAGAACTTTTAGTAAGCGGTGTCGATATTTAAGCAGATGAATAAATTGTGGGACAAATAGCGAAAGAGATGAGAAGTTTAGAATGACGATAGTAAGTAGGCATGTCTAAATTTGCAAATTGCAAAAATAGAATAATCTTTTTAAAATTATGATTCCAAATTACGTTATATATGCTTAAATAACTTCCTTTATGCATTCAAATATTGTTTTAATCACTTATAGAATATGGAAGCCTTTATGTCCCATAGGTTTAATTAATTATTTTTTATGATGAAATTGAGAGTCCACTCTCTATAAACTTTAGCTTTTCAAAAGGACCATGCGAAAAATTCTGAAAACAAAAAACGTCTTCAGTTGAGGTCGATCCCCCGATATCAAGTAAGAAAATGCGGCGCCTGACCACTACACCACTGGGCTAATATGCCAAAAAAGGTCATTCTTCTTTTATAAAATGCATTTCTGTTTTTTTTTGCATATAGACATATAGTAAAATTTTCCGACCAAGTAGTGTCGGATGACACTGCTCGGGTAAACATGCATCTGCCCTTGCATCAAGCAACCACTATGTTCCACCATAACTATGTCCTGAGCCATTCCTGGCCCATCACTTGGGCCTTCCTATAGGTAGGATATTGGTGTTAACCAACAATCCCCCCCCCCCAAAAAAAAAAAAAAAAAACCCCCCCAAAAAAAAAAAAAAGAACACCTGCCATACGATGCACGTTGATCCTAGGTTAGATCAAACGCTTACCGTCATGTCAAAAACTATAGTTGATAACAAAAACGCAACTTTATTTCTTAACTTGTCCATCAAACAAGCATCATGTTCGACCATGTCTCTGACCTGCGCCATGTTCTTGAAGAATGGAGGGAAGGAAAAGGGCTTTATGCTTTCTCCCCCTTCTTGAATTCTTGATCGTCGCTTCAGTAGATTTCCTTAAGCGGTATCTTCAATCAACAAGCTTTTTTCCTTCTGCAGAGATTTGGTTTTGAATCTACACTATTTTAGTTCCTTTTCTTGAAATAAGCTGTTTGATCTTGATTGCTTCCTGATTATCCTCTTTTTCTAAGTCTGTCTCTTGATTCTCGCTATTTTGTCTTCTCGTGACTCAGCTAATTTGTGGAATCTCGATACATTTCCATGATGATTCAAACTCTTGTAGCAGATCATGGAATTTTCTAATTTTGAATTCAATAACAATTAATTTCTTGTTTTGTGCTTTCCCGATCTTCCATTCTTCAAAGCCTTCCTTCTTTGTGACATCAGTCAAATTTAACAATTTGTCCTTAATTTAGGTTTCAATCGTCTTTCCTTGCTTTAAGGAATCTTCACAAGATAATTTTTCTACTGAGATTTGACCTTCCCTTGAATTCAAATATTTTCTAGGTATGATTTACCCATAATTTAAGCAAATATTCCCTGATCTTGGAAAATAGTCTCTTTCTATAACATAGATTGTAGTAAGAATATTTTTTCATACATCATTAAAACAAATGAGGTCTCTCTCCGCAAGTCAATATCAATCTTTGACTATGCTGGTTTGTTATCACCGATATCAATAGGTGAAACCTCATAGTTAAATCTCAAGGTCTTAAGGTTTATTTAAATCTCAATAAATGAAACCTCATTTTGATGATAACAGGCCAATATAGTCAAAGCTCAATTCTAACTTCATAAGATTTTAATCAAATAGGATTTACTTGTATAAATCAGTTATTGGATAGGTTTGAGAAGAATTTGATTGGATTGAATATTCAGATACATATGAGAAAAAAAGATATTATATGGTACAATTATGAAGATTTGATTATTGAAGGAATTGCGAAATCAAGGATGATATGAAAGAGTCTTGTCCAAATCAAGGAATAGTATCTCGGCCAAAATTGTAGGAAGAGTACTTGTTATTATGGAATGAAAGAGATGCTCAAATTTGAATATACTTGCTATAAGTTTGGACGAAAGGTGTTGGTATTACTACAAAATTAAGAAAAGATGTTTACAACGGATGTAAATCCTATGAAGGATATGTTTGAAATTTATTAGGGATATTTTCTAGCATTGAAGATACCTTGATAAAAAACAAATGGAAGGAAGATATTGAATAAGCCACAACAATCTCTGTTATGGAAAGATGTTATTTTCCAAGATCAAGGAAGGAAATTATCCTAAAATCAAGGGAGTTCAAAATTGCTAATATCAATTATGGAAAAGTATTATCCTACAATTTATGTTATTGAAAGGAAGGAAGATTTCCTAAAATCAAGGGAGATCAAATCATACTAAGATTTTTTTTTATTTCAGGTCAAATCTCGGTAGAAAAGATTATCACGTGAAAATTCCTTAAAGCAAGGAAAGATTGAAACCTACAAGGAAAGAAGATTTATTAGATTTGACTAATGTCACAAAGAAGAAATCCGTTGAAGAATGGAAGATTTTGGAAAGCACAAAACAAGGTAATAAAGATACTAAGTTCAAAATTAACAAATTCCATCTGCTAGAAGAGTTTGAATCATCATGGCGAGAGATAGACCTAGAAAAAGAGGATGATTAGGAAACAATGGAGGCCTGGAGAAGGCGCAAGAACAAACAAATTAATCTAAAAGAAGGAGCTAAATCCTGTAGATTCCAAAAAATTCTCCACAAGGAAAGCAGCTTGCTGACGGAAGTTACAACCTAAGGAAATCTACTGAAGCCAACGCTCAAGAAGGAAGAATTACAAGTGAATCAATGCAAGTTTCAAGAAGAGGATGTGACGGTAAAGTTTTGACGAGTATTATAAATAGGAGAACAATAGTGAAATCTTTTCTCCTCAACAATGTTTTTCTCAACATACATCTCCCAACAATGTTTTTCACTTTATCTTCTTAAATCCTTGAGATATTTTTGGGTCTACACTTGTGAAAAACAAGAGAGCAACACTTTGAGCCTAGTATTAGCCTATCTAACTACCGGGAGTGCTCTTCATTGTGCTTGAGTGAAACCCTAACATATAAAAGGGTTAAAATGATTTATTACTACACTTCTCTAAAAGCCCTAGAGTTCTAGTGAGAGAAAGGTTAGGCAGCCTTTTTTGTTGTTCGTAAGCGAGTGAAAACCATCTTCTAGACGTTTGTGGTGAGCGTGTAAAAACCATACGTTGGTGGTGAACGAGTTAAGACCATATGTTGGTAGTGAATGTATCAAAATCATATTGTAAAAGTTCGTGGTGAGCGTAGGTAAAACCGCATGGTTGGGGTGACCGTGCGAAAACTCTCCTTGCTGGTGATGAGACAAAACTAAAGGTGAAGAAATAAAAATCCTTGGGAGTCAAGGGGACTAGATGTAAGCTTTCCAAACTAGTACAAAAAATTCGTCTCTCATTTGCCTCACTGCAATATATCTTTGATTACATTTTACACCTTAATTCCAAAAATTAACCATTTCTGTGCAGATTGGTGAACTCAATATCAGTCGGCTGAATTCTGCTGTAGTCGACGGCTAAATTGAAAAAGGGCACGATAACACCCCCCTCCCCCCCTCAAACCCCAATCCACAAATGCATTTTTCATATACAATTATACCTAAAAAATGGCATGCCTTAGTGAAGAGCAATGAGCTCTTCCAGGTGCATTGGAAGAAAGAAAAGCAAGCTGCTCCCCCCCCCCCCGGGGGGGGGGGGGGGGGGGGGGGAGGGGGATCTGCTGCATTCTCTTTGGCAAAGATCAGTTAATGGCTTGACACTTTTGTCAAGTTCTTGCAACATCAGAATCCAAAAGTTCTGTTCAGTATCGGAACTTCTCTTTATGTGTATAGTAATATAAGAAATTAAATGTCAGCAGGCTATAGACCCCATTTGCTGTATTTTGAACGTTTCTATGTTTCCCATATTTTCTACGCTGACTTTTCATGCATTCTGATTCATTTGTTAAGACATGACATTGTTATGAGTTTAGAAAGATGTCGTTTATGTGATTTTTTGCACAATGAGCAAAAATTATATGTTGAAACATGAGGATAATTTGAAATTCTGGTTAGGCAGTAAATAATTATTTCTACTTCCACTACCCTTAGTTTTGGTGTATGAGATGTGTTTCTAAGCTGGATGAACCTGCAATTGTCAACAGCTAGGCCACTATCAACTGATATGTGGTGGGTTAATTAATGCACTTAGTTGGGAAGGTCTATTATTTTATTACATGTATCTGTTGCAATGTGTTTAGAGTCCTTTGCTAACCTAGTTGGAAAGCTTCGCATAGTAATGTCAAATCAAACCTTTCTGCTACAATCAGAAACAGATTGTGGTTATAATCTTGCCAGCATGTTTGCTCAAGTAAAAGCACTAAATTTAAGTCAAAGTTATGAACTGTTTGTAAGAATCAAATGGGGATTTGGGATATACTAGTGGTTTATCCTGAAAAATATAAGATATGCATCAAATTACGCGCTGGTTCTGGTCAAGAATAATAAAGAAAAATTTTGTGCTTTTACCTATACTTGTTGCTGGTTTGACTGGGAGAATATTGTTGATACTAATACATAAGAGGAACCTGATCTGCTTTAAAGAATTTTAACATGCCCGAAGGAAAAGAAAGCTACTGAGATGTCAATAGTCAACATGCACAAAGAAAAAAGAAACCCTTTCAGAAACCAGAGCTAGGGCCTGTTTGGTTTGGAATTTCTACCTGATTCAATGACTTTTTTCTGATTGATTAGTTTTGTGAATGAGAATAACTAAGTGATGCCCACATATAACTCTTTTAAAAATGATTTATGTAACATTGATTATATGATGATCGTTTATTTGGGAACTATATTCAGTTCTATAATCCAGAGTATTCAGCATGACATATCAAAGAAATGCTGCAGAGTATTTCACAAGTTTATTTTTTAAATCCTTTTTAATTGATTGCTGCTTCCTTTAGGGATTTCATGAAGCAGGACTAACCATTTGCTGCATACCCGATCATACAATATTTCCATTTCTGTATTTTAATTGTGTCAGCTCTTCATTTTGCCTTTTCTTTTCGGGCTGCAGGATCCTATTGTTGCTGGGATAGAGGAGAAGATAGCGACTTGGACTTTTCTACCAAAAGGTCTGACTTCCCATGAAGGATATCACAATCTAGGATAGTCAAACCATCCACAATTAGTTGCTATTTGAAGGCTCTCCTCAATTCCCACTTAAAGTATGTCTGATACAAAAAAAAAGATTGACTTGATAGCTATTCTTACTGACTTCAAGAAAATATTTGGTGGTAATTGATTCAACATCACTAATTGATCAATTCACTTATACCGTGTCATCAGTCCTTCAACAAATCGAGTATTATAATTTTATGAAACTTCACTAATCTTTTGGAAAAGCTTTTATAAGAAACAATTGCACAATATGACGATGTTAAAAGGGAGCCACCAGGTAGGAGAAACAAAGAAAGGAAAAGATCATAATTTTCCAAGTTATTCCTTTTGTTTCTCTTTTCTTTTAGTTATAAGTGGTTATTCTTCTTTGTCCAATAAAAATTAATATTCATTATTCTGACTTTGCAAGACTTTGTGCACTTCTCATCTTTTTATTTTTTTAAATTGAAGACTCACTTCTCATCTGCCTTCTGCTTTCAGAGATACTGAGCATTAGTTTTATTAACTTATATATACTGTGTAATTCTTGTGCAATACTGTTAAATTATCCATCTTAAACTTCTGAAACTTTTGTCTTACCATATCAGAGAGTGCAAAGAAATATGTTATAAGGCGATTCTCTGGTTGAAAGAGGAGAAACTGAAGATTGAACAATTCATGGTGTAAATAAGAAGTAACAATAACATGTTAGAAGGGTGATAGACAAAGAATGAAAGCACTGTTTGGAGGACTTGTTATTTTTTGGCTGTGGTTTCTTGAAATCAAATCTATTCCGAAATTCACTTTCATAGACTTCAGATGCTTTCTTCGCTCCCTTTTTAAGGTCTAGCTATGTCTGTGGGTTCCAATTTGATGGATATTTCTTTTTTCTCTTTGCCAGAGAATGGAGAAGACATACAGGTTCTAAGATACGAGGAAGGGCAGAAATATGAGCCACACTATGATTACTTCTCTGACAAGGTTAATATTGTTCGTGGTGGACACCGCTTAGCCACAGTACTCATGTATCTCAGTGATGTCGAGAAAGGAGGTGAAACTGTCTTCCCCGAAGCAGAGGTTAGTTCAACTTTGTCCCTTTTTAATTCCTTTACACTGATACAAGCATGACTTTTATCCCACGTGCCGTCAACATAACTTTTCGTTTTGCTAGTTAGGTTCCACGTATGAGGTCGTCCATGCTACGTTGTCCCCCTGAATATATTGTTTCCTAAATTTAGCTTTTCATTTGGATCACCATTTGTGAGGTAGGTTTTTGAAGCAGAGATTAGCTTAGAAATTCATGATGATGATGTTTTGGGGAAAAAAGGTGAATTCAAGTTTATTTTGCAGCACATCTGGTTCCACCAAGGGGAGTGGAAGGTCAAAAGATGAGAAGCTCATCGGTTTGTTTCCCATTGGTGATGTGTTCATCATTTGCTTCTAGTTGTTTGGTAGGGTCGGAATGGAAGTAAAAGATATGTATTTCCTCCTTCTGAACCAGTTCCAGAGTGACTGAAAAAGCTAAAATACATTTCTACGTTTGCTTCCTGTCCTCTTTCACTTCCTTATCAATAAAAAAATAACCCTGAACTCCCTCTTTTGCTTTCTCCGCCCTTCCTCCTTTCACCTAAACAAATCGTATGATTAACGATAATATTCATCCTTTACTTATCATAAAGAAAATTAAACATACAATCAGGGTAAAACATACCTTGCATTCAATGAAGTTTTAGCCGGAGTGGAAAGAGGCCAGAAAATGTTGATGTGGCGGCATATAGCTGTCTTAAATAGGGGAAGCCTTTAGAAGAAAAAAAAAACTGCATCTTTGCTTCTATTGGACGTTACGCGCAAAAAGATGTGCTTTAAAAGCAGGGGACTTTATGAATCATAGGGTAATGTTGGCTTTTGTCTTTCATTTATTGATTTCTTTTCTCTTTGTTCTTTATTCATACGTCTACGGATTGAATTTTCCTGGTGACATCCTTTAGATTTACCAACAGTAAATAGCTTTGCTATTTGCTCCTTTCCAAATTGTGTTTCCTAGATCTTTGTTTTCATAAACATGTTTCTCTGTAAAACTGGATATCTTTACAGGAATCAACTCGACGTAGGTCAATGGCAGCTGATGATAGTTTGTCTGAGTGTGCAAGGAAGGGTATAGCTGGTGAGCCTATACAATAGATAACTGCTCAACATTGTCGCCTTATTCCAGTTGTTGCTAAACCTAATCTGCATTTGTTTCTGGTTCTCTTTTTCGGGGAATATTTCAGCAAAACCACGGAAAGGAGATGCACTTCTTTTTTTCAGTCTCCATCCAAATGCCGTTCCTGATCCTATGAGCCTCCACGGAGGATGCCCTGTTATTGAGGGTGAGAAGTGGTCAGCAACAAAGTGGATTCATGTGGATTCGTTTGACAAAATCGTGGGATCTGAAGAAAGTTGTGCTGATCAAAACGAGAATTGCGAGAGATGGGCCACACTTGGGGAATGCACCAAGAATCCAGAATACATGGTTGGAAGTTCAGATCTTCCAGGAAGCTGTAGGAAGAGCTGCAAAGCTTGTTAACTTATTATACTTCTTCCTCTAAATCTGTTCAGAAACAGTAACATTTTATTCCTTATTGTTCTTGCGATCTACCCAGTTTTGCAAATAACATCCTATTTCCTTTTTCTTCTATAGAGCGAAGTTCGTTTTTTCTGTCTCACACAAACATATGTATACTGCATTTATGTACACATTAGTTAACGAGTATGTACCAACTTCAATTTGGTCTTGTCACTGAGAATGTATTATCTGATACAAAATGATAGTCTGCTTATGCACTAATTTTATGATGGTTATTGAGTAAATGATATGTAATGATTGGTCATTATGGTGCATCCACTAGTTAAATGGACTAGACACACTGATGTGTTCGGATTAAGATGTTAGCAAATTTTTGATTGCCAAAGCATAATAATAGAGAATAAGAAAAGGGACAATTTCTCTTCCTTGGTTAGCTTTGTGCAATGGTATGCAAGTTCAATTTAAATTTCATTCATTGACAGCTTATTTGGATGAAGAAAAGGGACAATTTCTCTTCCTTGGTTAGCTTTGTGCAATGGTATGCAAGTTGAATTTAAATTTCATTCATTGACAGCTTATTTGGATGGCGGTTAGTTATTGTATTGTTACTTTAAATACAATGTTTGTTTGTTATTACTTAAATTGTATTGTATCGTATCGTTAAATTCGTCGTCATGTGACGACAAAAGTGTCATTTTATGTAATGACTGATTTAGTGTGGTTGCGTCGCTACCTTTTTTCCCCCTCTCATCTTGTCTTTTTTTATTATTAAGTAATCTTATTTTATCATTTACCCAATCTTATGTAATAATTCTACATCGTATCTTACTTATCTTTGTAATATTGTAAGTTTATTCTTCATATTATTGGTACATGACATGAAATGATGACAAACGATACAATTTATCTAAATATTATTACATCAAAACGATATAGTATAATACAATATTATGCATAACAACCATTCAAACAAGCTGTATATATGTTTTTTTATATGCTTTGTATTTGACCAACTCCAACAATTTATATGACATATTTTTTTTTAGAGAAAATCACATATAGCCACCCGCTGAAAACTTATAACAGTCGGTATCCATAAAATTATACCATACATATTATAGCCTAAAACTAATTATAACTGCTAGCAATTGAAATCATAAAACACATCACTTCAAACAGAAACCAACGGGCCATAGGGGGAAGTGTACAGTTAGCTACTAATTAGAGATGTCTTTTACTCTTTAGCCACTGTTTAAAATGTATTTACTCTTTAGCTAGTGCTTAATACATTTTTACCCTCCCGGGCGAAAATACCCCTGTGCTAGACATGGGTGCTGTGTAAATATTAAGGACATGGTGTCCTTAACTTCATGAATGATGTGTAAATATTAAGGACAAAGTGTCATGTATTTGCAACTTCCGTTGTTAAACTTTAGGACATCATGTCCTTAACTTCATATGTGCAGCGTAAATGTTAAGGACATGGCGTCCTTAACTTCAAGTGTGCAGTGTAAATGTTAAGGACATAATGTCATTAACTTGTATTTGCACCGTCAATTGTTAAACTTTAGGACCTCATGTCCTTAACTTCATATGTGCAGTGTAAATGTTAAGGACATGGTGTCCTTAACTTCATGTGTGCAGTGTAAATGATAAGGACATAGTGTCCTTAACTTTATGAGTGTTGTGTAAATATTAAGGACATGATGTCCTTAACTTCAAGAATATTGTGTAAATATTAAGGACAAAGTGTCTTGTATTTGCACCTTCCGTTGTTAAACTTAAGGATATCATGTCGGCAAACTCCTCAAGTGGCAAGAATCGATCCCAAGAACCTCCGAAATCCACAACACAAGTGCGAAGCATATCCTCCAACATTTGAATAGTGTGCTCGGATTGTCTGTCCTTCTGAGGATGAAATTATGTACTCAACTCAACCTGCATGCCTAACTCACACTGTACAGACCTCCAGAAGTGCGAGGTGACCTGCATACCTCGATCAGAAATGATAGACATGGGCACATCGTGAAGGCGGACAATCTCGCGGATGTAAATCTCCATTAACCGCTCTGAAGAATAGGTAACTTCTACTGGAATGAAATATGCTGGCTTGGTCAACCTATCCACAATGAACCATACTATGTTGAACTTTTTCTGAGTCCGTGGGAGCCCAACAACAAAATCAATAGTGATATGCTCCCACTTCCACTCAAGAATTTTTTACTTCTGAAGCAAACCACCAGGTCTCTAATGCTCGTACTTGACTTGCTGACAATTTAGACACTGAGCTACATATGCAACTATATCATTATTCATTCTCCTCCACTAATAATGTTGCCACAAATCTTGATATATTTTGGTGGCACCCGGATAAAAAGAATACCGGGAACTGTGGGCCTCCTCAAGAATTAATTCACGAAACCCATCCACATTAGGCACACAAATACATCACACAAATACAACCCATGCATCTGCAGTACTCCATCTTCCTCCACAATAACCTGCTTGGCACCACCGTGCCGCACCCTGTCCTTAAGGACAAGCAAATGAGGATCAACATATTGTTGCTCTCTGATGCACTCATACAAGGAAGACTGAGCGATTGTGCAAGCTAGAACCCGACCGGACACTGAAACATCTAACCTCACTAAATAATTGGCCAAAGTCTAAACATCAGCAGCTAACAGCCTCTCACCAACCGGAATATATGCAACGCTGCCCATACTCACAACCTTTCTACTCAAAGCATAGGCCACCATATTGGCCTTTTCGGGGTGATACAAAATAGTGATATCATAGTCTTTCAATATCTCCAACCATCTTCTCTGCCTTAAATTGATATATTTTTGTTTGAACAGACACAGTAGACTACGATGATCAGTGAATACCTCACACGAAACACTGTAAAGGTAGTGCCTCCAAATCATCAGTGCATGGACAATGGCTGCCAATTCTAAGTCATGAACAAGGTAATGCTTCTCATGAACTTTCAAATGCCGCGACGCATATGCAATCACCCTAGCATCTTGCATTAATACTGCACCAAGCCCAATGTGAGATGCATCACAATACACCATATAAGATCCTGAACCTGTGGGCAATACCAACATTGGCACCATAGTCAAAACAGTTTTGAGCTTCTGAAAGCTCAACTCATAATAGTCTGACAATTTGAATGGGGCACCCTTCTAGGTCAATTTTGTAAATGGGGCTACTATGGATGAAAATCCTTCCATGAACCGGCGATAATAACCGGCCAAACCCAGGAAGCTACGAATCTCTGTAGCTGAAGTAGGTCTAGTTCGATTCTGAACTGCCTCAATCTTCTGAGGATCAACTTTTATGCCTCCTGCCGATACAACATGCCCCAAAAAGGCAACTGAGTCTAACCAAAATTCGCATTTTGAAAATTTGGTATATAACTGATTATTCTTCAAAGTCTGAAGCACAATCCAAAGATGTTGCTCATGCTGGATTAAATCAAGATATCAATAATGAATACAACTACAAAAGAATCCAAACAGGGGTTGAACACCTGGTTCATCAAATCCATAAATATTGGTGGGGCATTTGTCAGCCCAAATGACATCACTAGGAATTCATAATACCCATACCGAGTCCGATAAGCTATCTTAGGGACATCGGATGCCCTAATCCTCAACTGATGATGACCAGACCTCAAACCGATCTTTGCAAACACATTAGCATCCTGAAGCTGATCGAATAAGTCATCAATTCTTGGCAACGTATACTTGTTCTTAATAGTAGCCTTGTTCAACTGCTGATAATATATATACATACGCATTGAACCATCTTTCTTCTTTACAAATAACACTGGTGCACCCCAGGACGAGACGCTAGATCTAATGAATCCCTGGTCAAGCAAGTCTTGTAACTGCTCCTTCAATTCCTTTAGCTCCGGCGGGGCCATACAGTATGTTGGAATAGAAATGGGCTAGGTGCCCGGATCCAAATCAATACAGAAGTCAATGTCTCTGTCGAGTGGAATCCCCGACAAATATGCAGGAAATACATCTGAAAACTCTAGGACAACTGGTACTGAATCCATAGAAGGAACATCCGCACTAGGATCGCGAATATAAGCCAAATAAGATAGACACCCATTCTCGACCATATGCCGAGCTTTCACATAAGAGATAACCCTGCTGGTGGAATGGCTAGGAGTCCTTTTCCACTCTATTCGAGGTAATACCGACATGGATAAGGCCACCATTTTGGCGTGACAGTCCAATATAGCATGATAGGGTGACAACCAATCCATACCTAAGATGACATCAAAATCTACCATATCAATAAGTAGAAAATACACTCTAGTCTCAAGACTCCAAACAGTAACCACACAAATGATAGACATGATCTACAACGATTAAATCCCCCACCGGCGTGGACACGTGCACAGAAGCACTCAAAGAATCACGAGGTACAACTAAATATGAAGCAAAGTAGGAGGAAACATAGGAATAAGTAGATCCTGGATCAAGTAGAACTTAAGCATCTCTATGGAAAACTGGAACAATACTTGTGATCACGACATCAGATGACTCGGCCACAGGCCTAGCTGGAAAAGCATAAAATTGGGGTTGAGCCCCACCACTCTGAGCTACATCTCTGGGACAGGCCCTAGCTGGCTGGCTTCCACCTCTAACAGTCTGACCCCTACCTCTAACAGTATGACCTCCACATATAGCTATCTGACCCTTTCCCCTAGTTGGCTGGGTGGGCGGTGGAGCAACCGATGCCGGTATGATGGCACGAGGATCCTGCGGAAATCTGTTGCTCGACAACCTAGGGAACTGCCTCCTGGTGTGGCCAATGTTCCCACACTCACATCACTCATCCTGTTGTTGTGGCTGTTGAAGCTGAAGTTGACCCGAACGAACTGGATAACTGATGTAGTGTTTGGAGTGGTGGTGCACTGATAGGAGATGAATGTGCACTAAATGTTGGTTGCGCAGAGTAAGACATATATGGACCATAACTCCTCGAATCACCGTGAAATGCCTGAAGTGCTGAATAAAATAGTCTGGGAGGATGACCCCTACCATAAGTATCCCTGCCTCCAGATGGGGCGCCTCTGAAATTGCCGGAATGATTGGGGCCTCTTATTTGACACTGGCCCTCTCTCCTGAGCACGAACTAACTCGATCCGCCTAGCAATATTCACGGTCGTCTGGAAGGAAATATCATTCCCTGTCTCCTTGGACATCTGAATCCCGATAGTATAAGTGAGTCCATCAATGAATCTCCTCACTCTCTCCTTTTC